GGGTTCGAGTCCCGGCGCTGCTAATTTTTCCTTTCAGTTATTCCTGTCCTTAACGTGTAAAGGTGTCCTTCCTTCTGGTTGTGTTTCATTTATATTTTAATTACTGTATTTGATTTATCCGTAAATAACTCAATTTTCAATATCAAGAATGATTTAGAACCGATAGTTCAGGGGTAGGCAACGCGGCGCCCGCGGGCGCCATGGCGCCCCCGATCGATTTTTAATGCGCCCTCGTTGGACTACGGCGATATACAGCAAGTAGTTAGTTGAGTTTAGGATTGTGCATAGATTAGCAGTTTGCTAACCTTGAGCGTATTTAATAACACGCACGTATTTTTTGTTAGTGTGTGATCGTATTTCGAATAGACCACGCGTAGACCGTGCATTTAAAACTACCAAGTAATCCGAAATAATTCTTTTCTTTCAAAACCCTTCATGGATAAATGTAAAAGAAAAAGAACATATTATTTTAACAATGAATGGGAACATCTATACTGTTTCGTTGATTACAAAGGGAAGTGTATTTGTTTGTTGTGTAATAATAGTGTTGCGATTCCCAAGAAAAGTAATATTGAACGACATTTTAAGACCGTCATACCAATTTTGATAGTGACTATCCAATGAACTCTGAAATTAGAAGAAAAAAAATTATTTCTTTAAAATCTATAATAACTAACCAGCAAAGTTTTTTTACTAAACCAGTGCAACAACATAAAGCAGCAACGATTGCGTCATATAAAATATCGCATTTGCTAGCTAAGAATAAAAAACCATTTAAAGAAGGAGAATTAGTGAAAGAATTTAAAAATAAAAATGAAATAGTTTCAGCTATAAACACGTTGCAATTATCAGCACGAACTGTTACTAGAAGAATTGAAGTAATTGCGGAGAATTTGGAGGCAGAATTAGCAAATGATCTGGAATATTGTATTTTCTTTTCGCTACAGATGGATGAATCGACAGACGTGACAAATATATCACAATTAGCAATTTGCGTGAAGATAGTATTTTCTGATTTTACAACAAAAGAAGAATTCCTGAAAGTTCTGCCATTAAAGGGAAGCACCAGAGGAGAAGATATCTTTTTTACTTTTAAAAAGTATATAACAGATGTAAAATTACCTGTGCAAAAGTTATCGTCAATTACAACAGACGGGGCGCCAGCGATGACTGGTAAGAAAAAAGGATTTATTGCCTTATGTAGACAGGATTCCTTATTCCCGAAATTTATTTCTTATCATTGCCTCATACATCAGGAAATGCGCAAAAACAATCGGTTTTCAACACGTATTTACGATAGTAACAAAAATTATTAATTCCATAAGATCGGGAGCTATGCAACACAGATTGTTTAAATTACTTTTAGAAGATGAGGNGAAATAATTTCAGTGTATTTCGAGCTTCATAATATCGAAGACCTAGAATTAGAAATAATAAATTTGCAAAGTGATATTATTTTAAAAGCGCATAGTAATGATAAAATGTTTTGGAACTTAGTCGATGAAAATAAGTATCCTATTTTAAGGAAATGTGCGCTAAAAATTTATTCATATTGTGCAACAACATACAATTGCGAGTCTTTGTTCTCAAATATGAAATATTTGAAATCAAAATACCGAACAAAGCTTAATGGCTCACATTTAGATGATTGTTTAAGGACCGGGAACTCTAAATATATCCCCAATTATAAGAAATTAGCTGAAAATATGGACACCCAAGTTTCACATTGAATTATATGTATCATTATGTATGACACTAACAAAATAAAGTTATAAAAAATCTGTTTTTTTAATGCCTATTTATACCTGTTGATTATCTGTAAAATATGCGCCCTCGGTGATTTTCAAATTTAGTATTGCGCCCTTAAGGACAAACAGGTTGGTCGGCAACCTGTTTGTCCTGATCTAGATGCTGCGTTGATGGAATATCGAAACACACCAATTACAGGGTTAATGAGATCGCCTGCTGAACTTTTGTTTTCTCGAAAGATTAAAACGAAGTTACCCATAGTAGAAAAAATAAATGAGGAAATCAAGACCTTAAGAAATGATTTAAGCAAGAAACAAGATATAATGAAAAAATACTATGACAAGGGAACAAAACCATTGAAAGACTTAAATGTGGGAGAAATGATAGTTTATAGAAAGAACAAGGAGTGGCAGCCAGCCATAGTTATAGGTAAACATGAAAGTCCAAGATCATACTTAATAAACACAGGACTGAATGTACTAAGAAGATTGAGTCAAGTCTTGAGAAAATCGGTAACTAACAGACAACTACCTACAAATATAGAAGAGAGTACGATTCCTCTTGCTCTTCCAAAGGACATTGATTCTAATCATGATAATAATAAGTTAGATGATAAGGTAGAAAATGCTATTGTACCTTTAATTACAAATAATGAACAACCAATTGTTAATCTAAAAACTAAGCCGTCCCGAATAATGCGAAAGCCGACTAAGGGCCGATCTTACAAGTGTTGGTATAATCAGTGGAATAGTTATTCCCAGAATAATTTATTTTCGGCATTAATTTAACGAAATAATGAAAAATTTTCATCACCCTTAGTTTTATTCGCAAATTTAACTTATTTTTGGATGTCTCACAAATTTTAAGTTGAAAATCAGCATTGCGCGTTATTCATACAATAATTATTACGTCTGATTGATTATAATCAATGTCAAACAGTCTCTGACTTATTCCTAGTATAAGCTATTCGCGTTGAATTGCACGGTATAGCTATCCTGCGCCGTATACCGTTATATATGCTATACGCCGGTATTGTAAGACGTTTATTCTAGTGTTTATACCAACATTTAGTTAAGTTATTCTTGGTATACGGAGCGGTATAAACTGTTTTGTAAGATCGGCCCTAAATTTAACGATTATGTGATGTATTAACTTGATGTCATAAAGATGTAGGACAAGTTGCATAAGTATTCCATGACAAGCAACTCGTGTGTTTACTAGCTGTAAAAGATCTGTAGAGTTAATAGTTAATAAAGTTATATTTATAATTGTGCGACTCATTATTATAACATTAATTAAATTAAATAGAT